AGGCCCAGAGTTCAGGCCCCACGACCGGACCCCCCCCCCCAAAAAAAAAAAGAGTTTTATGAGGTGGGTGCCAGTGCTTCACTCCTGTAATCCTAGCTACTCAGGAAGCTGAGATCTGAGGATCATGGTTCAAAGCCAGCCCAGGCAGGAAAGTCCCTGAGACTCTTATCTTCAATAAATCAATAGAAAACCGGAAGTGGTGCTGTGGCTCAAGCAGTAGAATGTTCGCCTTTAGCTGAAGAACTGAGGGACAGCACCCAGGCCCAGAGTTCAAGCCCAATGACCGACAAAAAAAAAAAAAAAAGAGTATATCAGACTTTTCAGCCCTGGCTGGCTTTGAACCTTGATCATCAGATCTCAGCCTCCTGAGTAGCTAGGATTACAGGCATGAGCCACCACACCCAGTTTCATCTACACTCTTTATGTCTCCCAAATTTGATGCTTACAGACATTCATATATTACTTTTGTTCCATTTCAAGTGAAACTCTGTCACTTTAGCCTAAGTTCAACAATAGCTGATTTTAGTTTTCCTTAATGTAAAAAAAGGAAGTTGTTTATTTCTGTCAGCCTCTAGAAAGATACTCCTTTAAGCCGGGCGCCAGTGGCTCATGACTGTAATCCTAGCTACTGGAGGCTGAGATCTGAGGATCCCAGTTCAAAGCCAGACTAGGCCATTCAAAAACCAAATTGGAGCTGTGCCTCAGAGTGGTAGAGTACTAGCCTTGAGCCAAAGAGCTCAGGGACAGCACCCAGACCCTGAGTTCAAGCCCTGCAACGGACCAAAATAAACATTCCTCTAGCTTCACTGTTATCTCACCCATGCCTTTCTTGGTTCTGTCATCCTCTCCTTTAGCAGTTCTGCTATACATACTATACCAGCTGTATCAGTCATCTGACAGCACTCAGGTGCCTAAAGTATTACATAAAAATAGAAGTGATTAGAATCTCATATCCTCCTTCAGAGATAGTCTGACTTTACTTTATCATTTTTTTGGTTTCAGATGGTCTTACTATATAGCTCACACTGGTCTTTCGCAGCCCAGGCTGTCCTTTAATTTTCCATCTCCTACCTCAGCTTCCTCAGGGCTAGGATTACAAGTGTATACACCAGGCCTGGCTGGCTTTTTGTTTTTTTGTGTTGGCAACAGATCTTGAATCAGGGCCTTATGCATGCTGAGCACATGCTTTACCACTAAGCTCTATCCGCAGCAACTCCTAGATTCATGTTTTTATCTTGTATATATTTGAAGTATTGCTTGAAATATATTTAGCTTGTTCCATTTTAATCTTTGCTTCAGAGAAGTTGTTTCAAAGCTATTATTTCTTAGAAAAATGGTCACTTAACATGTTTTAGTAGATAGTCTAATGGAACAATTTTTTCTTAATAAAATTTTTCTTTTTTCTTTTTTAGGAAGTGAAAGTACTTAATATTGACCTAAGAAATTTTAAACTACGGTCAATTGGGTAAGTTTTGAATGTTATATACTGCATTGAACGTGGGAAGAAAGTCAAATCAACATGTTAATTCAAAGGACCATTTGGGCTTGGCAGAACCCTGTAGATTCAGCTGAGCTTTGAAGGATCAGAACTTCTCAGAATAAAATTGATCATGAGCCAGGTGCAGTGGCTCACACCTGTAATGGTTTCTACTTAGAAGGCTATGATCTGAGGATCCTGGCCTAAATCCAATCCAGCCCAGGCAGGAAAGTCCATGCATTCTTTTTTTGTTGTTGTTGGCCATGGGGCTTGAACTCTGAGCCTGGGCACTGTCTCTCAGCTCTTCAGCTCAAGGTGAGCACTCTACCACTTCAGCCACAGCACCACTTCTGGTTTTCTGAGTAGTTCATTGGAGATAAGAAAGAGTCTCACGGCCTTTCCTGTGCTTTAAACCGTGATCCTCAGATCTCAGCTCCTGAGTAGCTAGGATTGCAGACATGAGCTACCTGCACCCGGCCTCCGTGAATTCTTTTTTTTTTGGTCATACAGCCTAAACTCTGGCCTGGGTGCTGTACCTCAGCTCTTCAGCTCAAGGCTAGTACACTACCACTTGAGCCACTTCCAGATTTTTCTGCTTATGTGGTGCTGAGGAATCCAACCCAGGGCCTCATGCATGCAAGGCAAGCATTCTACCACTGAGCCACCTTCCCAGCCCCATGAATTTTTTTTTTTTCCCCATGAATCCTTATCTTCAGTTTACCAGCAAAAAGTCAAAAGGGGAGCTGTAGCTCAAGTGATGAGTACCAGCCTTGAGCAAAAACTAGGTAACAGTGCTCAGGTCCAGAGTTCAAGCCCCAGTACTGGCACAAAAGCAAACAAAAATTGATTTTGATTTTCAATTTGTTGATTTTGTTGTTTAGTGGAGGACAAAGAGAGAGGAAGAGAGAGAGAGAGTGTGTGTGTGTGTGTGTGTGTGTGTAATTGCTAAAGGGCACAGCATACCAACCTAGCTTGTTGGATGAGAAATACAAAGTCACCCTTTCTCATACTCCCATCTTTCTAGACCTACTGAAACCAATTACATCCACATAAATTATATCTTCTTTTCCTTCCAATGTTTGCAAACAATTGACCAAATTTACCTTGACTTTGTTTATTCAGTGAGATAATTATATGTTCAGTTTATTTATTTATTTTTGTCAGTTGTGGGGCTTGAACTCTGGGCCTGGGCACTGTCCCTCAGCTCTTCAGCTCAAGGCTAGCGTGCTACCACTTGAGCTACGGCACCACTTCTGGCTTTTTCTGCTTATGTGATGCTGAGGAATTGAATCCAGGGCCTCATGCATGCAAGGCAAGCACTCTACCACTGAGCCACTTTCCTAGCCCCAATATTTTCAGCTTATTTTTCCATTTAATACTGAATCTTATTATTTTCTTTTTGTAAAATGATGTATTTTATTACATTTATTTATTTATTTTTCTGGTCACAGGTTTCAACTCTGGGCCTGGGTGCTGTCCCTGAGCTCTTCAGCTCAAGTCAAGTGCTCTAGCACTTGACTCACAGTGCCACTTCCGGTTTTCTGGTGGTAAATTAGAGGGAAGAGTTTCATGGACATTCCTGCCTGGGCTGGCTTTGAACTGTGATCCTCAGATCTCAGCCTCCTGAGTAGCTAGGATTACAGGCGTGAGCTACCAGTGCTCAGCTTTATTATCTTTTTTTGTAATAGCCCTGGTTGGCTGCAAAGTCACTATGTCTAATTTTTTTTTTTGGCCAGTCCTGGGGCTTGAACTCAGGGGCCTGGGCACTGTCCCCTGCTCAAGGATAGTGTTCTACCACTTGAGCTATAGCACCCTTCAGCCTTTTCTGTTTATAGTACTGAGTAATCAAACCCAGGGCTTCATGCATGCTAGCAAGCACTATACAACTAAGCTACATTCATAGCCCTAATTCTTTATTGTTGTAGTTGTTTATTTTTTAATTATTTTTTGGTTGGTCATGGGGTTTAAATTCTGGGCCTTGGTGCTATCCCTCAGCTTTTCAGCTCAAGGCTAGTGCTCTATCACTTGAGTCATAGCTTCGCTTCTGGCTTTATTGGTAGTTCTAGTGGAGATAAGAGTCTCACAGACTTTTCTGCCAGGCCTGGCTTAGAACTGTAATTCTCAGATTTCAGACTCCTGAGTAGCTAGGATTGCAGGCATGAACAACCAGTGCCCAGCTTTGTTTTTTTGTGGCAGTGATTTTATTTTTTTGGTTGTGGGGCATCTCAAGGCTAGTGCTCTACCACTTGAGCCACACACCACTTTTGATTTTCCAGTAGTTTATTGGAGATAAGAGTCTCACAGAGTTTCTTGCCTGGCTGGGCTGGCTTTCAACCATGATCTTCAAATCTCAGCCTTCTTAATAGCTAGGAATAAAGGTATGAGCCACCTGCACCCAGCAATGTGGCAGTGATTTTTTTTTTTTGGTTGGTCATAGGACTTGAACTCTGGGCCGGGGCACACTGTCCCTCAGCTCTTCAGCTCAAGGCTAGCACTCTACCACTTGAGCCTCAGTGCCACATCAGGTTTTCTGAGTGTTTTATTTGAGATAAGAATTTCACAAACTTTCTTGCCTGGGCTGGCTTTATTTATTTATTTTTGTGTCAGTCATGGGGCCTGAACTCTGGACTTGGGCACTATCCCTCAGCTCTTCCACTTGAGCCACAGTGCCACTTCCGGCTTTTTCTGCTTATGTGGTGCTGAGGAATCGAACCCAGGACCTCATGCATGTCTTTGAACCACGATCCTCAGATTTCAGCCTCCTGAGTGGCAGTGATTTTTTTTTTTAATTCATGGCATTTATTAGTACCCAAAAATGCAGTCATTGTTACAACATAAATCATTTAGTGAAACACTGATATGGGGAGCAGGTTGGCAGTGATTGTTAAACTTGGGACTTTTCACTTGCCAGGCAGGAGCTCTACCACTTGAGGCATACCGCTGGCCCAGTAAACTCACTGTGTAGTCCAGGCTGGCTTCAAACCCCATGAGCCATCTGCCTCAGCTTCACTAGTGTTAGAATTACAGGTTCAGTAACATGCCCATCTTCCTGGTTTGTTTTTTTGTGTGTACATGTGTATGTTTTCTTTTCGTTTTTTTGCCAGTCATGAGGCCTGAACTCTGGGCCTGGGCGCTGTCCCTCAGCTCTTCAGCTCAAGGCTAGTGCTCTACCACTTGAGCCACAGCGCTACTTCCGGCTTTTCTTTTTGCTTAGTGGTGCTGAGGAATCGAACCCAGGGCCTCATGCATGCAAGGCATGCACTCTACTACTGAGCTACCTTCCCAGCCCAATGTTTTTCTTTTCAATGAATAAAAAAACTAGTTTGTTTCAAGGTTCTTAGCTAAAAGTGGTTGAACAGAATTTCTAAACTTTGCTCTATTATGCTATGTTGTAATACAGACTAGAGCATTTTCCAAGTTTTAGGAGCATATCTCTAGAGCTATCTGTATACAAACTATGAACATCGTGTGTGTGTGTGTGTGTGTGTGTGTGTGTGTGTGTGTCCTGGAGTGGACATCTTGACAAAAGTTGTAAAAAGGGGCTGGGAATGTGGCTTAGTGGTAGAGTGCTTGCCTAGCATGCAGGAAGCCCTGGATTCAGTTCCTCAGTACTACATAAACAGAAAAAGCCAGAAGTGGTGCTGTGGCTCAAGTGGTAGAGTGGTAGCCTTGCGCACAGAGAGGCTCAGGGACAGTGCCCAGGTCCTAGTTCAAGATGCAGGACTAGCAAAAAAAAAAAAAAGCTTGTTGCCGGTGGCTTACATCTGTAATTTTAGATACTCAGCAGGCTGAGATCTGAGGATCACAGTTCAAAGCCAGCCCAGGCAGGAAAGTCTGTGAGACTCTTTTTTGTTTTCTTTTTCTTCTGTTTATGTGATGCTGAGGAATCAAACCCAGGGCCTCATGCATTCGAGGCAAGCACTCTACCACTGAGCCACCTTCCCAGCCCTGAGACTCTTTTTTTTTTCTAGAGAGATTTTTTTTTTTTTGGGTCTGGTTGTGGGGCCTGAACTCTGGGCCTGGGTGCTGTCCCTCAGCTCTTCAGCTCAAGGCTAGCGCTCTACCACTTGAGCCACAGCGCCACTTCC